CGCCGCCGTCGCCGCCATTTTCCCAGAGCGAGAGGCAGTGACACTGAGCGGGCGCAGGGGGCCGAGTCGGAGACCGTGCCTGAGTTCGGGAGCGGCAACAGAGGGGGCATAGACACTCTGAGCAGCTTTGCCGTCGCCTCTGCGTTCCTGTTGACTGTTTGGGTGCCCCCTCCCCTACTCCTTGATTGCTGGTGAAGAGGCTGCGCGCTGCTGTTTGGGGAGGGGGTGTGTGGAGCCGGGTCCTCTGTCCGCAGTGGCTGCTGTCGGGGGGTCGTCTGTTCGCGGAGGTGTGGAGAGACTCCTTGGGGGTCGAGCAGATAACGGGGTTCGGGTGTCTGGTGTGTGAACATCACAGGTCAGTGCCTGTCGTCTCCTTGGGAGTTCTTGGGGTTTGCGGGGTGGAGGGACGCGTGTTTCAAGGGGGAGGGGGCTTTCTCATTTTTATGCTTTGGGGAGGGGGGTTGGGGGAGTCGGCGTTGACTCTCAGGTGTCTGGGCTGGAGCAAGACGCTGCTTGTTTGAATCGAATTTATCCTTTCTCTTCCCTGTCCCTAGAAAGGGAGCATTATGGCGGGTCTTAGGGTTGGGGAAAGGGGAAACCGGCAGTTAAACCCCCTTGAGAGTGGGAGTTAGGGAGGGGGCGCACTCCTTATTGGCAGCGGGTTAAGGGCGCTTGGGTGAGGAGGGAGGCTTGTGACTGTTAGTAGGGTTTGTGTCGAAGTAGTCCCAGGAGCTGCCAGCTCTCCCTTTCCTCGACCGCATCTTGTTCAGGTGCTGAAAAACCGTATAGGCCCCATTTTCTTCTTCCATTAATCGCCTGGCATTCTCTAGTATAATTTTCTGGTAAATACTAAGGGGGTTAAAAGGACGCTCTGGGTCTCTATCTCCCTTTGTGGAAGAACAAGACAGCTCCTCATCCTCTCCGGGAGAGGGTAAACCCGCCCCAGAGGTGGTCACCCCAGTACCCAGCCTTCTCAGTCTCCTCCCCCACTCCTCTTGCATTCTCGCCGTCCTTTACTGTACCGGAGGCTTAGAATCCACAACATGGCACATTTCAGAAAAGCTTATTTTGACCAAGGGATTGGCACAGACACTGTGGCAGCAGATACAGAAGAGAAACAAACGGTTCACTGTGCTAAACGAGGGAGGGGAGAGAGAAAAAACAATCCGGGGTGCTCTCTTCCACTGGCCTCAGTTCCGTAGAGATCCGTTCTTGCTAGAGTCTTAAGAATGATACAATTTAAAGTCAGAGAGAAATCGCTAGAGTTCGCTTTGGAGTAAACCCCGGGTTTTTTTTGTTTTGTGTGTGTGTGTGTGTGTGTGTGTGTGTGTGTGTTTGGTGCCTGTTTCCCCTCCTTTTAGAGATGTGAATAACGTAAGGTGTTGGAGTTCTGGAGACCTTGGAGAGAATTAAGTGAGGTGCATTCAACTCTAGGCTGGAGACATCAATACCTAATTGGAAGATGGCCCCGTTTTTTCCTTTATTTTCCGAGATGGGAAGTAAAAAGTGAAATTTCCCTCTTTTGTCCTTTACAGATTCTAAAAATGGCGGCCCCAGGCTGATGTTGTGGTAATCTAATCAGCTCGGGTCCTCCACACCCCATGCAGTGCGTTTGTCTGCAGCATATTACAGGCTTATTATGTTTACATGAAAAGACTGTGCTTCTTTTCTTTCCCAAATAGTTTACAAAAATGTGTTGATTTTACTGCAAATTACAATGCTGTGTTTTAGTTGATTAATTTGATTGGTTTTTCCTGAGAGGCAAATAAAATGACACCACTTCGGAAAAAAAAAAACCCACTCAGGTAGCCTTAGAAATTTCAGTAGTGAGGTAGGTGCTCTTAAACATTTAAAAAAAAATATTTGGGACAAGGAATAGTTTTTGCTCTGCTTAGTGCAAGTGTTTTTTATTCACTGTGCTGAAGTAAGTTAAAATGTTTAGTAAGTGTATAAGTGTAACATTTTGTGTGACTAGATGTTTTAATTTAGAGTGAAATGTTTCCCATCCACCTCTTGACCAGATTTGTGAATTTTGGTTTTTGTACTCTTTCAGATTAATTTTTAGGGAGCTGTACAAACAAGCCTAAACCTGTTACTTCACTGGGTGTGGAGATGCTTGTTCTTCTCACTATTATAGTTTGCATCCATTTTTCTCATGTATTTAAGCATTCCTTAAGAATTTTCTAAGTTTGTATATTTCATGAAGTGCAGCTACACACTTTGCTATCTTTTAAAATTGTTTTATAGCATACTATCATAATTATGTAAGTAGAAAAGTAAGGCCCACCCCCCCATGCCCGTTTACCTATTTTGGGATGTGGAACTTAGTCTGTTTTAATGATTTAAATAACAGCCATACTGTAATAGAGGGTCTTGAATCCATTTTATGCTAATTTCAGAATCTAATAGATTGAGGCAGAAAATCAAATGGTATCATTTAACAGTATTTTAAAAAGTGGGAATGGTTAAAATTCATCTCTGTAGTGGGGGGTTGATCTTTTTGGCCTGAACTCAGCAATGAGATATCAGTGGGCCATTAATGGCATTTAATGACCATTCTGATATGGACTAACTGAAAGATGAGTGCCTTTCAATCCAGTAGTTCTTAAAAAGGTTGGAGAGTATACACCCTTTCATGATTCTTTTATTTCCACTGTAAATTCTTCTCTAATATTTACAATGGAACAAGAGAATCATGAAGCTCATATATGAATTAGTTAACTTTCTGTTCTACAAAATAATTGTAGAAATAACTGGCTTAGAGAGTTTCATCATGGAAGAGTGAGCACATAACCTTACTTAGAATCTTTGAAATATTTTATTGTAAAATGAAATGTTGGTGGGTAGTAAGAGTTTGTGTAGGGATTTCTGGTCAATACTCATTTTATTATGCTCTGAGTGATCATGTAGGTCTGGATCCGTAACTGCAGTGTAAAGATTGTGCGTTTGTTTTATAGACTATGTGGTTAAGATCTGTGGTTCAGAAGGTTGGTACTTTAAACTTAATATCTAATGTGTAGGAAATCAGTATACTCTTAAGGAAATGTGGTTTATGTAGCCATGGGAGGGAACACTGTCTACACCCATTGTTTTTTCTTGATAGTGACCTTGATCAGGTCTAGACACACAAAGCATTTGGACTTACTTGGTTTCAAATAAACAATGCCAAGTTAGAAATTATGAGAAAAGCTGCGTTCACGCTGTTAGCTTTCTTCATACTGGGCTGCTTCATTGCTTTGGATTTTGTTTGTTTTGATAATATGTTTTAAGTATATCGTACTTTATTTTAAATGGTTACTTTATAAATAACATGGCTATAAATGTTTGGTTTTTGTTAATGTATACCCGATTGACTCTCTCTGTTTTAAATTAGAGTGTAGAGGCAAATTTTTTAAAAGGGTAGGCATTGTTTTTTATTCTCAGTGAGTTTTGATACAGTAGGTCTCTTGGGGGGAAAACTAGTCAAATGGTCTTTGTTCTTAGGGTAGCTGAGTTTTGAGGGATTAGGTTTTATCTGTTTAAGTGGATTTGTAGAAAATCATAATGTAATTGGAGAGTAAATTTTATTTTTAGAGACTATATTTTGATCATACTTCCCTTTTGTTGTCAGTGTACGTTATAGGATCCTTTTGATCTCAATTTAAGTTTAGAACCTTTACGGGGTTCCTCCATTTCCCTTCAACTCTTCAGATCTCTGATAACTCTCTCACAATTTTGGCTTGTCTGTCTTACAGCTTCCAGCCAGAGAATTTTTACCATGTATACCACAGTAAGCTCTAGGACTTCTTGGATCTAAAATGAGGAAGTGAGGATAAAAGCCAATTAATAATTTAGGAGAAATTCTTCCCTTTAACACATACCTTAGTGGTCTTAGTGAAAGCCTAACTTCTTAAATTGGTTTCTTATTTCTAAGAATAATGTACCCATTTTCATGCATCAAAGTGTGATACCGATGGTTTTACTCTTATTTTTTTTTGTTTTTTTAAAGATTTATTTATTTATTTATTTGACAGAGAGAGACATAGCGAGAGCAGGAACACAAGCAGGGGGAGTGGGAGAGGGAGAAGCAGGCTTCCTGCTGAGCAGGGAGCCCGATGTGGGACTTGATCCCAGGACCCTGGGATCATGACCTGAGCCGAAGGCAGACCTTAATGACTGAGCCACCTAGGCGCCTGATGGTTTTACTTTTAAAAGTCTGTTATATAAATCCTAACAGCTCTGCTTTTCTGGAAGTTAATACTGGGACTTAAATGTGTGCTATCATTGAGTATTTAAAATGGAGAAAACCAAAAAGACTTGGAAGAGCTATCAAAAACTGCTAAAGAAATATTAGTATGGAATCTTTGTAAAAGATGCTGTTTATTTTTTTAATATTTTCATAATGTGTAATTAGCTTTCATTTCCAAAGGATTTATTCACAGTAGAGAGTAGGTGCTCAATTATTTGTTGCATTTAAAGCTCATTTAAGCAAACACATCTCAAATATTCAGGGTGATCAGGGACTGTTCCTTGTCATGTTAGAATAAATGTTTAAATACTTGTGTTCAGGGAGACTTTTTAATGTTAGCTATAGAATTATTTTTTATGGTAAAATTACTCTTGTGTCGACTGGCAAAATAACAAGGATACTATTTTAGATATTGCTGTATAAATGTTAGTTTTTAGGCTGAGTTTAAAATTGGAGTGGCTTACTGTCTCTTTTTTACTGTCTTTCGTAATGTACAAGTGTTGGGAAGAGCCTTATTTTTTTAATATTAAACAGATAATATGTATTAAAAATTTATTTAATATGGAAGAGCAGTATTTATGGTTGAAAATATTTTTTTAGCGCACCAAAT